GGAGGGGGGAGCGGGGGGGGGGGCGGGGATGGGGCACGGAGGAGCAAAGAGGGAGAAGCGGGGACCGAGCCCGGGAGCAGCGAGGCCAGAGGCTCGAGGGGAGGATCGGGCGTCGAGGAGCGAGGGGTCCTCGACCTCCTGCGCGTGGATAGAAGCAGAGCGGATGTTTTTCCTGCACATTCGGCGCCCTCAGTCCTGGTGCTATGCGAAGAAGAGAAGTCGGGATAAACACAAACTTTCGGAGCTCCGATGCTGATGTTGATGGTGGTGATGCTGATGCTGACGGTGGTGATGCTGAATGGCGGTGATGATGATGGTGGTGCTGGTGGTGGTGATCGTGGTGGTGGTGATGGTGACGGTAATAGTGGTTGGTGATGATGATGCTGCTGATGATGCTGATGCTGGTGATGATGTTGTTCATGATGATGCCGATGCTGCTGCTGATGATGCTGCTGATGATGATGATTCTGATGATGCTGCTGATGATGGTGGTGGTGATGGTGATGATGATGCTGATGAGGATGATGATGATGATGCTGCTGATGATGGTGATGATGAGCATGAGTAACTGATGATGATGGTGCTGCTGCTGCTGATCATGATGATGATGCTGTTGATGATTATGTTGATGTTGATGTTGATGTTGCTGTTGAGGATAATGATGATGAGGATGATGACGATGCTGCTGATGATGATGATGATGACGATCACCATGACGATGACGATGATGCCGCTGCTGCTGTTGCTTATGATGATGGTGATGATGATGATGCTGGTGCTGATGCTGCTGCTGCTGCTGCTGATGATGATGATGATGATGATGATGATGATGATGATGCTGATGAGGCTGATGATGTTGCTGCTGCTGCTGCTGATGGTAACGATGCTGTTGCTGCTGATGATGATGCTGATGATGATGATACTAATGCTGATGATGCTGATGCTCTTGCTCTTGCTGATGCTGCTGCTGCAGATGATGATGATGCTGCTGAGGATGATGATGCTGATCATGTGTGAGAGCCGTTTATGCGGCCCCAATTAAGGCCCACATCCCGCCCCTCATTTCGGCACGCCCCTCACGTGTGTCGTGGTCACCCTAGTGCCAACCTGCACACTGGTTTCCCGCATCCCGCCTTTCATTTCGGCGCGCCAATCCAGCGTGTCGCGGCACCATATGGTGGCTTGAACTTTAGATCGGGGGAGTCTTGATAACATGTCCGAAGCGATTCTGGCCGAAGATCTCGCGAAAATCTTCCCCTGAATCTCCAGCAGCAGTGCTGGGCCCCCCTCAGATCTCCAAGCAGATTTCTTTGGCGAAATCACCAAGCCAAATTTCCACCGAAATCTCCGGGAAATCTTTGGGAATCCCCATTTCGGTGGAATCTCCGTCGAAATCTCCGGGCCATTCCGCCCGCGCGAGTGTCCTGTGGGCAAGACTTTCCAGGATATTTCCACGGAGATTCACAAGGGGCAAGATTTCCCAGGAGATGTTCTTGCATATTGCCGATGGGCAAGATTTTCTGGAGATTTTGCCATGCAGATTTCCGAGGGGCAAGATTCCTTGGGAGATTTTCCGGGATATTTCCGAGGGGCGCCAGAGCTTATTCTTAGGCTTACGCCACACCGCCGACCCCTTTGTTTTTCTTGGGGGGTTCCTGGGGGTCCCTGGGGCACGTTGGGGGCGTCTTGGGGCCGAAGGTTCGAAGTGTCTCTTCCGGTTTGGGAGCCGATAGGGGCCGTTTTAGGGCAGTCTTGGAGGCATCTTGGAGGTGCGAGGACGGGGGGAGGAGCAGAAGGCGGAGAAGGTGGAAGGTGTGCTGGTGGAGGGAAGATGACACAGAGAGCTGAAGGGGAAGGAGGGAAGAGAGGGCGAAGAAGAGGATGAAAAAGAGCAGGAAAATACGACGCGGAAAACAAGGGCGGCGACGGACTGGCCCCGTCGTGCGAATCCTCTCGGGGGCCTGCGGGAGGGAGTTTGGATGCTTCTGGGGAGCTGTTTGGGGGCCTCTTGGGGCCTCTTTTGGACTTCTAGGGGGCCTCTTGGGCGCCTCTTGGGGCCTCTTGGGGGCCCCTTGGGGCCTCCTGGGCGCCTTTTGGGGCGGAAAGCTAGAATTTTAGGTTCGTGGTCCCCGTCTGGAGCCTTTCTTGGGGGCCTCTTGGGGCTTATTTGAGCTGTCTTGAGGCCCTCTTGGGCCGTCTTGAGGCCCAAGAGGGCCGTCTCGGGGCTCACTTGGGGGCCTCTTGGGTCGTCATGGGGCGTTCTTGGGGAACGCTTGCGCCGTCCTGGAGCGTCGGAAGCCGAGAAAAGCGAGGAGGCTAAAAACTTAGAAAAAAAAACATGAAAAGCAATGATTTTGGCCTCTTGGGGCCCTCTTGGGAGGCCTCTTGGAAGCCTCTTCGGGCGTCTTGGCGGCATCTTCGGCCGTCTGAAGGCAATCTTCGCCGTCTTCGAACGATTTTTCGGCGACTCGGGGCCCTCTTGGACCGTCTTCATAGCTTCTTGGGAGCCTCTTGCCTCGTTTTGGGCCCCCCAGCAGACTTTCTGGAACGGATGACCCCCCCCGGCCCGCGCCGGGGAAGCCCGGGGAGGCCGGCCGGGCCCCCCCCCTCTAAATCGACCGGACCAGGCTCCCGGGGGAGGGGTTTGGGGAGGGGGAAGACTCTCACACGCCGATGATCCCCAAGGGGTCGGCGGATTTGACATATCATTGAGTTTTGTGGGGCGTCCAGGATTTGTTTTTGAGATTTTGGTTCGGACATGCTATCTAATCAGGCACCCCCCGATCTAATTCTCTACGGCCCACAGGCCAAAATTAACATTGAGTTCCCGCCTCCCATTTCGGCACGCCTCTCGCACGTTTCGTGGCGCCGTAGGGGGGCCCAACGAAGGCCCCAATGCCAAAGTTCAGATCGAGTTCCCGCTTCTCCTTGCGGCGCGCCCCTCGCACATTTCGTAGTCCCACTTGCTTGGGGCCCCAGCGAAGGCCCACCTGCCAACGTGCACATGAGTTCCCGCCTCTCATTTCGGCGCATCCCTCGCGCGCTTCTTGGCGCAAGTGGGGGGCCCAGCTGAGGCCCAACTGCCAAAGTGTGCATGAGCTTCCGCCTCGCATGTCAGCGCGCCCCCTCCCCCCCCACGTGCATCGCGGCCTCGTGATGGGGGCCCCAGCGAAGGCCCACATCCCAAAGGCTCCCGCCTCATTTCGGCGCACCCTGCGCGCGCCTCGTGGCCGCCTAGGGAACTCCAGCTGATGCCCCGATGCCAAGGTTCACATGCGTTCCCGCCTCTCCTTTCGGCACACCCCTCGTGCACTTCGTGGCCCCTTATGCAGGGGTTCTAACGAGGGCCCACATGCCAAAGTTCTCATGCTTCCCCGCCTCTCATGTCGGCGCACCCCTCACATTCGTGGCCCCATAGGAGGAGGAGGAGGAGGAGGAGGAGGAGGAGGAGGAGGAGGAGGAGGAGGAGGAGGGAGGAGGAGGAGGAGGAGGAGGAGGAGGAGGAGGAGGAGGAGGAGGAGGAGGAGGAGGAGGAGGAGGAGGAGGAGGAGGGGGAGGAGGGGGAGGAGGAGGGGAGGAGGGGGAGGAGGGGGAGGAGGAGGAGGAGGAGGAGGAGGAGGAGGTGAGGAGGAGGAGGGAGGAGGAGGAGGAGGAGGAGAGGAGGAGGAGAGGAGGAGGAGGAGGAGGAGGAGGAGGAGGAGGAGGGGGAGGGGGAGGAGGAGGAGGAGGAGGAGGAGGAGGAGGAGGAGGAGGAGGAGGAGGAGGAGGAGGAGGAGGAGGAGGAGGAGGAGGAGGAGGAGAAGGAGGAGGAGCCACAGCTCAGGACCACATGGCAGAGTTCCCAACAGTTCCCGCTTCCTTTCGGCCCACCCCCCACGCGCTTTGCGGCCCCACGAGGAGCTCCCGACGAGGCCCACGTGCAACGTCTCGAGTGAATTCCCGCTGCAATTCTGCGCACCACTCGCTCGTCCCGTGCCCCCCCCATAGGGTTGAGTCGGGCATGTCCACAGGAGGAATACTCAAGAATACTTTTAAAGAAATCGTCAGGGGACGATGTTTGGATTTGTTTTGATAAGTTTGCGGTATTTGTTTGAGTATCTCAAATTTTTCGCCCAAAATCCGGCTGCAGGGGGACATGCCCGACCTAACCATAGGGGGCTCCGACCAAAGCCCAAATGCCCAGGTTCGCATGAGTTCCCGTCCCTCGGTTCGGTACAACCCCACACGCTTCGTGGCCCATCATGAGGGATCCGGCGAGGCCCTAAATGCCACCGTTCCCATTGTGTTCCCGCCTGTCATGTCAGCACGCCCCTCACACGTTTCGTGGCCCAAGAAAGGGGGCTCCAACGAAGGGCCACTTGCCAGTGTTCGCGCGACTTCCCATTTTTGATTTAGGACTCCTCGCACGTTTTGTGGCCCCATAGGGAGCTCCACTACGGCCCAACTGCCAGGGTTCGCATAAACTCCATCTTTCCATGTCGGCACGCCACGCACACGCTTCGTGGCCCCCTTCTAAGGGTCTCCAATGAAGGCCTGAATGCCAAAACTCACACGAGTTCTTGCCTCTCATTTCGGCACGCCCCTCACACGTTTTGTGGCCCCATGAAGGGGTTCCAGTTCGGGCCAACATGCCAAAGTTCGCATGCGCTCCCGCCTCTCATTTCGGCCCCCCCCACGCTCTGCGTGGCCCCATGGGGAGTTCCAAATGTTTCTCAAATGCAACGGTTTTTATGAATTGCTGCCTCTTTTTTCCACACCCCCTGACCCGTTTCGTGGCCCCCATAGGGAGCCCCAGCTAAATGCCGACATGTGCATGCGGAGAATTAGAGGCAGAGATGAGGAGGGGTCAGCTGGAGGAAGGGGTGGACGCGGGGCGCTGTCTCTTCCAAACGAGGACCCAGCACCACAGGTTGGTTGGGAAGAAATCAAGGCATCGGATGCCTGGGGAGAGGTCAGGGGATAATCGCATCATGCTGTCGACACCCTCCAGCCCTTTGTTCGGCCCGTATCGCCCGCCGGCGTCACGGCTGGATCCGCCTCGGAATCGTAGTCGGAGTTTCTGACTCGGATTCCGAGTCGGACGGCGCCCCCGGGAGACGCCGGGTGCGCGGCCGGCGCGCGGGCCTGCCGCTGCGCCTCCCCTCGGACCCCCCTGGGGCCCCCAAGAAGGCCCCGCAGCCGCTTGGCCTCGAGCCAGTCGACCTCGGCTCCGTTGGCGCTCCGCCGTGCGATTCTGCTGCAGGCATGCCGCCCGCCTTTGCTGGCCTGCCGATGTGCCTCCTGGCCGCCGGGTCCATGGCCTCGGGCGCTCTGGCCGAAGAGGGTGCCGCCAGTGGAAGCCGCCGCTTCCTCGCGAGGGCCCAGGGCGAAGGCCAGGAGTGCGGCAGCAGCGGCTCGGATGGCCACTTCTACGGGGACTGCTCCGTCGGGCTCGAGTGCGTGCCCCCGGCCGATGGCGCTGCGTCGGGCAGCCCCGGCGTCTGCCGCAGGGTGTGCGGAAGCTTCGGAGCCGGCGGGGACCACGTCAACGGCACCTGCGGCGCGGGCCAGAATTGCTCCGGCAGGGCCGCGACGCCGTGCAGGGAGGGGGCCGGCGGATGCTACATGTACTGCGACAGCGCCGGCGGCCGCCCTGCGCAGGGCGAGGGGCAGGAGTGCGGCAGCAGCTCCTCGGGGGACTTCTTCGGTGGCTGCTCCTCGGGGCTCGCGTGCGTGGCTCCTGCTGCGGGCTCGCCGTCGGGCGCGCCGAGCACCTGCCAGCGGGCGGGGCAGCAGGAGGCGCCTCTGCTGGCCGGCGCCGCGCGGCC